AGGCAATAGAAATTGCATATTGTTTTACAAAAATACGAAAGTTTTTTCTATCCATGAAAAATGTAAAATTCAACTCTTTTATCGATCAAAAAGCCATCACCTATGAAAACTAAAATTTTAATGTGTATTCAAAACTGCGGTGAATAAACTATAAGAAAATCGAAACGGACTGAAAAAGAAAGAAATATTCGGTATTTAATATATATGACATGGATGATAGAAATAGAAGTTTTATTTTGAAATCGACAGAATGCTAGAGCGCTTCACACTTGACACAGACTTATGTTTTTCTATATTAATGGTGAAAGTTTTAGATACAATGTCCTCTTTCACTTTTCAAAGTCAATTAACGCGTGACCCATAAAGAATTGCACTATTTAGTATTTTTAAATTTTCTCTTCCTCCTTACATTTGATTGAGCTGGTTCTTTTACCAAAAGATTCCCCGTTGAATGCTCTAGAAAATATGTATCGACTGTCTTATTGCAAAATGCCATGAGAAAATGTGAGAAGTACAAAAATGTAGAAAAAAATAAACATAGTTACAGTATTTTTAGTATTATTTGCTAAAAGTTTGTGAGGAAAGCTGAATTAGTCATCGTGTGTGTGCCAAAAAGCACTATTTTCATCTGTAATTTAAATAATTTCTGTTAGAATTGAGGGCGTGAGAATTTCATTATTTTTTGCCAATTTTTCAAAAAAATGATGATTTTTTACCAATAATTTGAGCCTTCCAATAAAACAAATAAAGCTTAGTCAAACTTGATCCATTCAAGGCGATTTTTTTGATTTTGAAAACAAATGACTAGCCGTTATGATCAGATCTCTAAGATTTCGAAAACAACTTTGGTTTATCCCACTGCGCATAAAAAAAGGTAATAACTTTTGCTGTTTTCAGTTAATTGCTGAAAAGTTAATCTTTACGTCGAATATTTAGATTCAAATGATTTTTGCTGTGTACGACGAAAATGAACGTATTTGAAGCTACACAAAAATAAACTGGAATCGCGTTTTAAGAGTCTCCCCATCTCCCCTCAGAAATGGTAATTTCCTGTCAAAAAATTCATTTTGAGATACTCACATGGAAAGATAGCCTGACAGTCCGGTCTCACGAGCGATATCCCGATCGGGATATTTTTGCAAAACATTTTGGAAAAATTCATTATAGCAAATATCGTGCTGTTATTGCGGAAAAGTGAATATAGCATAAGAAAGCGGATGAAAAACTGAGTCGGAATCAAAGGTGCTCTAGTCTTGGTTTAAAACTCTACCGTTCACGATTTTTTAAATTGCAGTAGGGATGTACAAAATAGCCTGATCGAGATATTATCTCGTTCGATATATATACATAAATAGTTTGATCCTTTGTTAAGTATCATATAAAGGAGCTACTATAGGCAAAACACCGAGATATCCGGCAAGTATTTATTCAATACATCTACGAAGACAAACTTTGAAAATAATGCGTTATAGCTCACTTTGTAGGTCGTAAAATTCTCTGTTGAACGATATATGACGTGGAGTGGTTAACCAGAAAACAAATGGATACTATGTTGACTATACTATAACGATGTTGGTCTATCGGTTTCGGGAGGTGTTTCAGAGTTTTTTGAGATTAGACTACTCAGTCGCATTTTGTTCTAAATATTTTATATATCATTTTGTAGCCTGTGAAACTCTCTATCGAATGGTATACAGTAGTTGAGATTTGCTCTAAACAAATGAGAAGAAATGAAGACAATACTCTAAGTAAAATTCATCTAACGAGAGAAAAGTTTGGATGCGAACATTTTTCCGGGAAGGGTCAAAATGGGTTTTCTACACATTTTTCATAAAACTGTCTATTTAAGTGTTAGTAAACTAAGTTCTCTCACTATAGAAAGAAATGTACCGTTAAAACTTTATGCAAGGCATGCATATATGATAGTACGGATCCGTAAAGGCTATTTTCTAAATTTGGCCTAAACCTGTGGAGACAAAATGATGCACAAAATTGTAGCTTTGGAAAATGGCTATCTTTTGGTATATCTCTCTGTTTCTGTGGTTGAGTGGACGAATATTTCTATTTTATCTCGCCCTTTTGGTTCAAGATCAAACATATGTTCGTTTACATGTACTTTCTCTCTCTATACCTGAATATTTCATACTTAACATAAAATTTTTCAGTTTTCTACTTAAAGCGTTAGATGAATTTCTAATGTAGCGAATGTTACCAAGTACTTGTCCAAATACACCAAATACTGTTCAAATATTTCTTTACTTGCAATTTTCCACAAGTACTTATGCAGCAGTGTTTTTGGAAAATACTTGTCGAGTTCTTATAATGCATGTCAAGTACTTGTCAAGTGCCGGCAGAAATGTGCAAGTAAGCAAGTACCCACTTGCAAGTACATTCACTAGGGATACGTATTGGTAAGTTGAAATCTAACGTTTCAGTATGACAGTATTGACTGCGGATCCTTCTTCTCATTTTTAGGAGAAGGAGCGCGTAAACTATTGATTGGACTTACACAACAACAACGTGAAAAAATTATCGAAGATGTAAAGGAAATGTATCCTGGCATAGCACAATGTTTCAAACTGAATTTACCATTCAAAAATTCATTTTTACGTGATGTACAAATTCTACATCCGTCGTTGCAATCTGTACGAAACACTGATCAGATCGTTTGTATTGCACGTGTCGTTCAATGTTTATTGAATGACAGTGAGATTGATCGGTTACGAGACGAATGATTGGCATATTCAATCGAAGACATCGCTAAAAAATGGTCAGTCAAAGAGCAAAAAAACAATTCGGTCGAGAATAATCATATTGTTTGTCAACGTATTGATTACTACTGGAATCACGTTTTCGCAATAACAACAACAAATGGACGCGCAAAATATTCCATATTGGTTAATCTCATTAAAAATATTCTTATTATTCCTCATGGTAAGGTCAGTGTTGAACGTGGCTTTTCGATTAACGAGAATATTGTTACTAAAAACCGATCATTGTTATCTGAGTCATCGATCAATGGACTACGTTTAAAATGATGATGCTGTTAAATTTGCTGGTAGTGGCTTCAGTCATAAAGTAAGTATTTCTTTTTTTATTTGACAGAGTACTTTTTTGCACGGTTTTGGTCAATTCAGGTACCAGTGAACAGAGAAATAATCAAGGCTATTCAAAAATCGTCTTCACTGTACACAGGGGAATTGGCTAAAGTGAAAGTGGCTATGGAACGAATGGAAAATGAAAAACAAGAACGTAGGAGTGCCGAAGAAATTGACAAACAGATATTAAAAGAAGTAGAACAATTATTATTAAAACAAAAAGATTTACAACGACAACAACAAGGAGCCAGGTCAATTATTAGTGACGGTAGTGAGTACTTTAATTGGAAAATTGGTAAATAAGCATTTGATTTAGATTGATAACATTGGAAAATCTAAAAATAATTTACCTTGATAACGATTGATAGTGGATATTCCATGTATTAACAAAGGTCCAAAATTGTGAGTGGAAAATTAATAAACTTTACGAAATAACTAATATTACGTTTTATAATTATTTTTTATTTTATTAGTAATATTACGTTTTTTTCGAAATAACGATAAGATATAAAAATGTTTACAATCGAAGTTGGGTCTACCATATTAATTGTAAAAATTGTGACATATCTGTGTTGTTAAAACAATTCGACAATAAGCATTTATTTGAAGATGGTGCTTCTACTATTATTGAGGACTTTGACCAATTATCAAATGCTGCATCTACTGATAATACTCTTGATATTATTTTCGTTTCTAAGATATCTTCTAACATGTCTTCTTAAATGATAACTTTATTTAGAGGTTTCTAAAAGAACATCCAAAAATGTTAAAAAATGTTTTTCATCATATCAAGATCAATCAAATTTAAGACGTTCTTCTCAACTTGCCAACAAACGGTCTGTGACAAATACACAGGACTATGATGAGACAGTTGTCATGATGATAAAGACTGTGCTATTGAATTTAACGGCATATATAAATAACATAAACTTTTAGCAGACGAACCACTATCCGATCAAAAAAAGAACGATCCCCGATATTTTTCGAACAACTTTTCACCGAAAAGAGCTAGAACCTCACGGTTTACAACATTCGACAGAGCACAGGTTGGGAAGTAGATCTATGAAAAAATTCAAGCTTCGGATCAGATTTACTACGGTAAGTCATTCCCAGCAAAATGTCCGAACCTGTGGTTCATATGCCAAACAATGAACTTTGAATTCTGAGACTTCAGCTAGAACCACTAGACCATCGTTTTTCAAGCTATGCGCGATTCAGGGTTTCATTCTCAATGGATTAGGAGTTACAGAGGTTTTCTGGGGACCTACCTATTGACTAAACTTCATGTTCGCTATCTTATTATTATCTTATAAGGTACAGATAATTTAATTAAAATTCAAAAGAAAAGAAAAGATGCATTCGCTAAACAAGAAGAAAAACGAGAGAAAACAACTAATTAAACAATCGTTGACAATTGATTGAAAGAGATTCTTCTTATTTTACGATTCTGATCACCTCTGGTCAAAGGGTCATTGAATAGTTTTGGTCATACGATATATCAGTAGTCATGGAAACTGATACTTGTGGTTTGTATGAAAAAATAAAACAAGCTTTTTTGTTTGGAAACTTCTTTCTTGTGTTCTTTGTTTTGAAACTGTGTGAGAGTAAGTGGAATCTTTTGAGCGTGGATTGAACAAGGATTATTTCTCCTTGGTGTGTTTTTTTGTGAAGTAAACTTCATTGTAACGACATTTTCATCAATTCGAACACATATTCAATTTAGTTGATGACCCGCGCAGAGATGGTCTTTGGTCTTCAATGGTACTCTAGTGTTTTTTCACTGTGGGATGGTCTTCTATTATGGGGGGTGG